CTCATGCCCATATACAAAATAAGGGTTTTTTACATATTTAATGCATTCCGCCTATACGAAAGTAGTAGTTTAATCAACTATAAACCCTTTTCTTGTTCACAAATCAGAGACACAATCTAGGATTTGTAATCCAATTCCGTAGAAGCATATTATTACCTTTGCCTCTATATTTTAGCCAAAGAAATGCCTTAACTTGGATTAAGTCAAATATTTTGTTGATGTCAATTGGCCTGTCCTTGAATATCCTTTCATTTCAAACACCCCATGGTGTCCACAATATTGCAAACCAAATGACCTCCCAACCATGCTTTAATCTTTTGGAGTGAACAAGCCTTTCGTGTTGAACAAAAGCCTCCCAACAGGTTGACAACCTTGCTGCCGGTAAATCCCACCAATTGAAGCATTTATGCCTTTTTTCCAAAGCAACTTTACAGTGTAAAAAGAGGTGGTCTTCGTCTTCCTCATGCTCATTACAGATGCTGCATAAGGTTTCATTGACATCTTTGAGAACTCCTCGTCTGAAAAGGTTTACTCTGGTTGGGATTTTATCCAATATTGCTTGCCATAGAAACCCACGTACTTTATGAGGGATTTGAGTGTTCCATACCCTCTTGAATGTCCTTTTTTTTTTTTTTTTGAAAAGCAAAAACTTTATTAATTTTGGAATACTGGTGGTATTCCAAACCGTTAGCTACAGTTCAGCTCATCAGCAAGTAGCAAACTCCTACCGACAGCTGTGAAAAAACAAAACAACATATAGTCCCAATGCAGTCCAGTTCACACTCTGTCTTTCTATTTGGAATTGGTTGCCCAGTAGAAAGATCGAATTTGAACTGGCTTAAAATCATATCACACCCGTGCTTTGCCCAGTAGAAAGATTGAATTTGAGCGATCAATTGAATGTCCTTCTATTAGGCGCTGTCTGATTGTCTTCAAGTAAAAGATAGCCTGACTTGGAGGAGTAAACTCCGCTTGAACAGTGCTTCCACATCCAAGAGTCTTCAACTCCAATTTGGACTTGTATATTTTGCAGCAAGCTTACAAGTTGTTGCACGTCTTCTGACTCCCATGGATACAACTGTCGCCTCCAATTGAAATGCCAATTCCATTTGCCTTGTTCCCACAATCCCACTTGGTGGATGGATTTGTCCTTGTCTGTTGAGATTAAGAACAATCTAGCAAAACATTAGCAAGTTCACCTACATCTAGCCATCTATCCCTCCAGAAACTCACACTTTCTCCTTCCCCAAGTACAAACTCAAAACCATCTATTAGCCACCCACTTTTTCCCTCTGCTAACACATCTAACTTGCATATATCCTTCCACCAATTTGATCCTGCTCCTCTACCTTCCCTAACCCAGTTCAACCAATAATCATTTCCTCTGAGTGTGCAACATGTCTTACGGACTATAGAAGAAATCGAAGCATGGACAAGAGAGAAGGGAAAACTGAAAAAAAAAGGCATATTGATATATTATTTAGTGATATGAAATTGAATTATAAAGAGCCTTTATATAGAGGCTACTCCCATAATTACATAAATCATATCTTATAATATCTCTATCAGCCCCGCAAGCTCAAGGTGGTTTTATCAACTAGAGTTGATATGGCAAATTGTCATGATGCGTCCATAACTAATCGCAAAAATTGTCTTGATCTTAAAGTCAATATGTGAGTGAAAAGAAAGAAAGAAACACGTTGAAGCTTTTGTTTATTGAAGGTGAAACATGAGAATTTGCACAGCGCTACAAAGAAATAGCAGAAAACCAAAGAAAAGAGAAAACTAAAGTAGCAAATGATGATACAGAAGAAAACCATAAAAGACTGAATTGGAGAATGAAAGTGTAGGCAAATAAGAGGGCAGAAAAAGAGAGTTAGAAGAATTTGAGAGGGAAGAAGTCAACATGTGCGATGAAGGATGAAAAACGTATTCTAAAATAGAAGGATTATTAGAAAAGGTGAAGTAAAAAAAAAAAAAAAAAGAACTAAATTGGCAGGAAATCAAAGGAAAAAAATGGTGACTCATTAAGAACATGTAGTGAACTAAAATTGGATGAACCAAGCGAAATTATTTTGGCCAAAATCAACTAAGGGGTTCTGAAAATCAAAACAAGGAAGTTCCTTTTCCTTTTTTTTTTTTTTAAAAAAAAAAAATTTAACTAGGAGGCGTAATAAAAAAATTGCTAAAATAGAAAATAAAACCAAAAAGGATTGCAGAATTGAAAGAAAAATTAAAATAGACCACAAATTGTGAAACCTAAGAAAGTAGAAAATATACCTTTTTTTATTGGAAGGGAAAATATGCTCTCCCTTTTTTTTTTTTTTTTATAATATTGAAAATGAAGTTCGCAAACCAAGAAAAGAAACAAGAACTACATCGAACCAAAAACAAGTTTAGTACCAGATGCTGTGAAGCTTATGGCTCTAATACCATTTATAAGAAATTAAAACATGGAAAAGACAGAAGGAAAAATTGAAAAAAAAAAAAAAAAGCATACTAAGATATTATTTAGTGATATGAAACTGCTACATTAGGAGCCACTATATAAAGCCTTTATATAGAGGTTTAGGTAACTTACTAACTAAGAAACCCTAAATCTATTATAATAACAACAAAATTAAATCTACGATTTACTTTTATGAATAAACAAACAAGTAATGAATCTTATCTGAACCATCTCTAAAAGGGATTATTTGTTGCACAAAAAACTTGTGGATTCTTAGAAACTTAAGAAAAGAAGACATGTTGACATTACACATGAAGATTGCACATTTGATCTGTGTTTTCAGGAAACTGTCATACATTGAGGAGTCACAAGCAACTTTTTCAGTCAATGCTGCAGGATCTGTCTAGTACAACGTTTTCATCAAATTGGCCTTGAACCTGCAAGTTTATGTTATGAATCCATTATATCTGACAAACTGACAATTTCTAGATGATAAAAATCAATCAACTGAATTAGATGAAAGAAGTTTTGAAAAGGAGAAATAAAGCATAACTCTTCCAAACCTCAGTTTATGTAGGTACGAGAAATATGGGAAAATCTTCGACCATTCAGGACTGCTTACTCTGGCACATCTTTCCTCCAATTTTGGACAACTGTCAATTCTAAGTAATTGTAAGTTAGAGAGTTGGTAGCATGGCTTCAGTAGAAGGCAAACGTGTCAAATTAAAGCAATTCATAATTCCCAACTCCTTAAGAGAAGAAAGGTCTCCCAACCACTCTGGCAAAGCTTCCAGGCCATGGAAATAACAAAATGCCAACTTCCTAAGGGAAGTGACATGTTGAAGCTGATGTGGCAGAGACTTTAGTATATCCCATCCTTCCAATCTCAGCTCTTCAGTTGGCAAACACGTTAACCCATCACAATCGCTAAGCTTAAGCATTTTAAGAGATGTAAGACCGCTTAAACTTGGTATAGCCATCAGTTTTGGACATTCCATTATGGTCAAAGACAATAGCCTATGATGATATGAAAATCCGTTCATCGACCAAGTCTTCAACATTGGACATGATTCAATTTCAAGTATCAACTCCTCAAGGCAAGGAAATATGATTAGGCCTTACTTCGGCCCATTCTTCTAGGCTTTCCATATATGCTACTTTGAGTTTTCTCAAAGCTGGGAATATTTGTGTGATTGATGCTACCCCACCTTCATTGATGCTTCCATTCAAGTAGAACTTGCTACCCATACAGCAATGCGTCCATGCACCCTCATGTTTAGAAGCACTGCATCAAGCATTTTACTACCAACATTCTCATGTCAATACCTTCAGGGAAGTACCCACCAGGAGAAAAGAGTAAAAGCCTTGATAATATAATATGGTAGCCGAACTTATAGGCTTATGGTTCAGTTTGTATCATCAACAGAAGGAGGAAAACCTAAAGAATGCAACTTTGTCAGTTTGACCCCAGATTTGATGGAAAGCAATTACATCTTGCATGTGATGACTAACATAGGAATAGGATCATTTATATTGGTGCATCCATCAACTTGAAAATTTTGTAAAGGGAAACCCCACAGAACAGAAATCTTGGGAAAAATTTTAAATAGAAAATATGAGCTAGGGATATCTGGATCCTTGTAACCGAACAGATATTTTTGCAGTTTCATGGAAATTGTCACACTGACCTTTTCAAAGCAGCATCGAGGTCATTCTCTTCTTTATAATTGAAAGCCTCATCAAACCCAAATTTGTTCTTCAGCAGATCGACCTCCAAAAATAGAAAACAAAGAAACATTAGTTTGTAATCAAGTGGGGCATTAAAGTGATTGAATGTTGTGCTTGAGTCACCATATCAAAAAGCAGAAAAAACAAGATTTTGAGAGTATATATTTGCAGCTTTTTCAACCAACCAATACACTAATGAAGAGAAGTGGCAATGCGCACTAGCAACGCTATAGTAAAAATTTCATTTTATATCTTTTCTGCATTGACCTTGTATCATCGTACGTGCACAGAGGAAGTGTAATACACAGCATAGGTAAAATATAATTTGCAGCCATTAGATAAAAACTAACATATAAACTAAAATGAAGTATAATAGCTTGATGTAGCAAACCTTTTCTTTGCTTCCAGCACTTCAAACTATATAACAACCCGCTGACTTGGCAAACTGCCCAAGAAGCTGACCAACTGCACCAGATGCTGCTGAAATGTATGCGTATTCTCCTTTCTTAGGAAAGCAAACATCATGCAGCCCAACATAAGCAGTGAGACGAGGCATACCTATAATGAAGCAGATTGTGCACAATTAGAAGAAGAATTTGTTTAACAGTATAATGCAGAACATGAGAAAGTAGACCTAATTAGACAGTGTTGTATCCATATGCATCTAACCACTAAATCCTGTTAACCTAGAATAAGGGATTTTGACAATAAGATTCAAAAGCTTTGCTTGTAATTGCCTTATCTTTTAATAATCCCCTGCAGCAATTTGTTTGACCAACTAGTTATTGATTCTTTTTGGATTGACTTCACCAATAACGACAAACTATTTGTAATTTTAAAAGCAGGCTCCTAAATTTAGATGGTCAGGAATTTCACTATAGAACAGAGAACATGAAACCCTACATATTGGAATTTGCAGACAGTGAAAGTAAATAAATTTTAAAACCCTCCAATATGGACAAATTGATCTCTTCAAACTGCCAAGCCAACACGTTAAACTGTTAATGATCTAAATTCATTTACATCCCCATACATCCCAGTAAGTCCAAAATCAGTAAAGACAAAGGAGAAGGCATGAACTCTAAATTCAACCATAATGACTCACTCTGTCAATTGACATAGCTAATTGTTTCAGGGGAAATAACATCCCAAGAGTTAAGAACAAAAGCCAGTCCGCTGCGTTGGGGCCAAGACAGTCAATCATTAGGCTCCATTAAACTAAAGACTAGGGCATGAAAAACTATGAACATAAATCATACTCAAGTGATATTAACATGTGCATCAACCAATTTCATACCAACTACAATTTCACTAAACATAAATAAATGATATATAGGAATTTTGAAGAGTGCTTTAGGCTCACTAAGGAGAGTATATTCTTCCCACTCAGTGTAGCCCCAAACTAAGTCACCCTTTTTGTACTCAGGATGCCTTGAGTCCACAACTTTGAACACTCCAAACCCAACCACTGGCTGCAAGATTTCATCCAAAACAAGTCCAGAAATCAAAGATAAGAGCCCATATAAGAGGATAATCAGTCAAAAAAGCAAACAGAGTTGAATCATTTTTGTTCCTTCTTTTCTTTAAAATGGAAAAAAGAAAGAACCCAGTAACCTAAAAAGCCAGAAGAAAAGATTTTTATACCATTCGGCTTAATAATTAAAAAAAAAAAGAAGAAAGGTTTAATACCCAATTTGGTCCCTAAACTTTCATTTCAAAACTTAGTTAGTCCTTTAACTTCAAAAAGCACCCAAACCATCCTTTAACTTTATTTTTTAAGAACTCAAATGGTCCTTCCATCATGGAAGTGCCAGTTGGCACGTTAACTTGCAACGAATTAATCTTTTTATTTCAAAAAAACTACGGTGGAAAAAAAATGATGATTTGGTAATTTTAATATTAACCCTCCCCTTATCTTCAAGCCCCATCCCTCTTTGCCATTTTTGTTCCTTTCCCTGTTCTCCAGCACCGACATCAACACCAATACCAGCGGCATCATTCTTTCCCTTTCTCATTTTTCTCTCTACTCTCCACTCTCCTCCTTCCTCCTTCCTCATTTCCCTTTTCTTTGCCTTTTTTTTTGTTCTTTTTTCTTGAGACGATTGTTGTCCACTGGTTCGATTTTCTCTTCAGAGTCCGGTTCTATGGCTGCCACTGCCGCCGCAACAGCTAGTACTGAACGGGCTGATGCTGCTGCTAAAAACCCGCCTTCAACGACCCTCTTTAATTAATTGTGTTTTTGTTTGAGCTCTGCGTGGAGAACATCGGAGTCGTCAATGGAGTGCGCCTGCAAGGGGCGGGGAACTCGGTGCATAGGTCCGGCAAGGAGATGCTGTGCTCGCTGCGGAGCCGTTGCTTATTGCTCTGTATCTCATCAGGTTCTTTGATTTCTCAGCTCTCTTCAATTAACCTCGTTTTGCTTTAATGGATGTCAATCGCTGTTTCTGTTCTTCTTCAACTTCAATTTGAAATTGCATTTAGATTTCTCATTGGAAGGATCACAAAGAAGAGTGCGAAAGGTTAGAACAGCAAATGAAGCGGGCCGATTAATTGAATGATTTTCCTTTCACTTTCTCTGAAGAAGCTACGCTTCGTGTAAGTGTCATGGGATGTGCATTTGAACTTCCTTTTAGTTATTCTAATTTCATATGTGAGTTTAATAGAGTTGGGATGATGATTCTTTGGGTGCAATTTTTGATAGATAAGTGAAAAGGAAGAGAGCAGGTGCTCCTTCTTGAACACAAGGGGCATTCATGGAGTGGGAGTGTGGAAGTGTGAATGTACTTGTGGGGCATTGTCTGCTTCCTTGGATTATGCCAGGTTTCTTTCATCTTTTGCTTTTCTGTGATGTAGTGATTGTGCACATGTGTTAGCCCATGTGTTTTGTGAATGTAAATAGCCCATGCCATTCCCAAGTTTCTGTATATTTTGAGTAACCATGCCATTCATGTGTTTTCTGTATATTTTGAGTGTTGTCTAATCTGCAATTTGAATAGAAAACATTTGCATTTTTCTTATGAGTGAGTAAATTGAAATGAGGAAGGAGGAAGGAGGAAAGAGGAAGGAGGAGAGTGGAGAGTAGAGAGAAAAATGAGAAAGGGAAAGAATGATGCCGCTGGTATTGGGGTTGATGTCGGTGCTGGAGAACAGGGAAAGGAACAAAAATGGCAGAGAGGGATGGGGGTTCAAGATAAGGGGAGGGTTAATATTAAAATTACCAAATCATCATTTTTTTTTTTTTTGGGAAATGATTTTGAGACAACATTTTCATTTCATTTTTTTGTATAACTTAACTTATCATTAAAATGATTGGTTCTTTTAATTCATACAGGACCATGATATTGAATGCATCCACTCATTTAATAGCATGTGGAAGTTGTATCAAAAGATAGGATAAAAAGGTTGTTTCAATAGCACCACCTTTTTTCTCCACGTAGTTTTTCTGAAATAAAAGGATTAATTTGTGACAAGTTAACGTGCCAATTGGGCACTTCCGTGACAGAAGTACCATTTAAGTTCTTAAAAAATAAAGTTTAAGGATGGTTTGGGTGCTTTTTGAAGTTAAAGGACGAACTAAGTTTTGAAATGAAAGTTTAGGGACCAAATTGGGTATTAAACCATAAAGAAAAAAAGAAAAAAAGGAAAAAGCAATCCATTGAACAAAAATATTCATCAAAGGAAAAGGAATCAAACCCATTTCCCAAATGCAATACAAAACGCATAATTTTACATGATCCAGAGGGGAAAAATACCTTACAGAGCCTGGAGTGTAAGAGGCAAAGTCAGGTTCTTCAGAGTATTTCATGCGGTTTCTCATGTAGGGATCACAGGAGGACAAGCAGAGATTTTTGAGGAGAACCCCATTAGAGTCCTCTGGTACCTTGAGGCTTATGGAGGTTGTGCTAATGTACATGTCTGTTTCTTTAGGGAAACCAGTGACATAGTCCCGCAATATCACCTGCTTGTTGCTCACCACTTCTTCACTACGACCATCTGCCATCGTCGTTCTCTCTAGAATCATGAGGATATGGGTGGGAAAAGTGGGGTTTAATTAATTATTGGGAAATTTTAAGAAATATATGTTTGGAGATAAATATGATATGTGGATTAATCAACTGATGCCTTGGATAACAAAGCAGAGTAATACAAGGGAAATCAAAATGAAGAAGAAGAATGATCTCCGATGTATTGCTCCAAGAATCCGATGACAGAGAGAAGAGAGAGATGCAAATCAAGATACGAAGGAAATACAATTCTCAGTATGCCTCTCTTTTCTTAAACCCATTATATATACCCTCTCCACTCTCAGCAGTCTGTTAAGCATCCTTCTCTCAACATGAACACGTCACTGCTCCAATGTTCACTGCTGTCGTGGCGTCTTGCTATTTACAGCTGCCACGTGTCTGTCTTATTAATCCACATATCGTAATATGATGTGAACTGGACCAGCGTGAGATTCGTTTCTTCTCGATTCCTTTACTGAGATGGACCAACTTGAAAACATTGACAAATTCTTTTTTTTCTTTTTTTTTTTCTTTTTTTTTTTTTTTTTGGTCATGATTGATAGCATAATATGAAGATTTTATATGGAAATGTTATTTTATAATTTAAATTAAAAAAATATTTTATAAAAAAGATTACACCCTAAAAAAAGGGACACTAGGAAAAAAAAAACTTATAGAAATATTGGCTCTGATACCATAAAGTAGAATGATATTTCTTACATCTTATTATAAAACACAATAGTATATATATACATGTAAAAACCTACTCTTTTTGGAACAGCTAAGAATATTTCTATTAAAAAACTGAGTACAATGGGTACTCAAACATTTTTACAAACACATAAAAGTGCCAATAAATTCAAGTTACTCCCATCTTTCAATCCAATCATTCTCAAATTTATTTTTTCCCCCCACAATTAATATTAAGGCATGAAACTGAATTCAGCAACGATTGAAGTAACACCTAACATTCCTTGCCTTAATCCATACAAAAGATCTCAATTGAATAAGTTCAAATATCTTAACCCTATTTACCTTCAAATCTTGGAAAATCTTCTAATTTCATGCAAACCACACGGTCCAAACCACTGTGTTCCAGATGTAGTCCCAGCCTTCTTTGATGCGTGGGTGTTTGGTCCATGTCCCACAATTTTCAACGGTTTTCCGAGAGTCCTTGTCTAATGTCATGGTAATCCAGCACCACTTAGCACAAGCCAACCATAACCACCTAACTATATTGCAATTCAAAAACAAGTGATTAGTGTCCTCATCCTCAATTTCACAAAAAGTACACTTCCCATCTCCCATATCTTTGATGGCACCTCTTTTGAACAAATTCAACTTGGTTGGGATTTTATCCATCATTACTTTCCAGTTGAACGCAACAATTTTACTCAAGAGATCAAGATTCCATACCCTCTTGAAGAATTTTGCTTCAACCGGTCCCTTTTCTTCTTTTGTTAATATCGAGTACATTATTGAAGTTGAGTAATGGCCATCCTTGTTGTGCCTCTATTCCCATTTGTCTGGACATCCTGGATATATCTTCACCTCCTCTATCATCCTGCAGAGTTCTTTAACAGCCTCTTTTTCCCATTGAAATAGAATTCTTCTCCATGAGAGGTTCCATTTCGATGTTCAGTTATGAGTGGTGCCCATTTGATAGCATTCTTTCTCTTTTCCTATTGATAATAAATACAATTTGGGAAATTTATTAATAAGGCATGCTTTCCCACACCACTCATACCACTAGAAACTCACCCCTTTCCCCTTGCCTACCTTTATCTTAAATCCCTTTGACAGCCACCCTACATTCATCCCATTCCCAATATTAAGGGTGTGAACATCTCTCCACCATACCGAGCCTACACTTCTCTCATCTCTCACCAAATCAAGCCAATGTCCCCCTCCCCCCCATATTTCCCAACAATAACTTTCTTCCACAAGCCTTCTCCATTTGTCACTAATCACCTCACCCCCACCACTTTCCCATCAATACCAAGTTAAATTTTCTCAAATCCCTCACTCAGAGCCCTCCATATTCTTTTTGTTTACAAACCCTCTCCCAACTAACCCAATTAATTTTTTTCACTACTCCCTCCCCTCCCCATTAGAAACTTCTATGAATTTTATCAATAGAATTGAGAATACCTTTAGGGATGAAGTAGATTGACATCAGGAACACAAGCCAGCTAGACAACACAGAGTTAATGAGCGTGATCCGACTTGCAAGAGAGAGATGCTGACCTTTCTAGCTAACTAGTCTCCTTTTACAAGAATCCACCAATGGCTGCCACATTGCTAGTTTTTTATGATTCCCACCAATAGGAATTCCCAGAAATTTAAGTCGAAACTCTTCCACCTTGCAACATAACTTGTAGGCCATTTTCTCATTCCAACCTTCCTCCACTTCAACCCCCACTAACTGACTCTTCCCAAAATTAATTTTTAGTCCTGAGGCCAATTCAAAAGTCCTCATGATTCATTTGATCACCCTTATATTGTCTTCTGATGCCTCCCCAAAAGAGATTGTATCGTTCGCGAATTGTAAGTGGGTGACCATCACCTTACCGTTACTAACCGTCACTCCCTTGTACAGTTCCTTCTCAATTGCAGAAGACACTAAACAATTTAGCCCCTCCGCCACAATAAAAAAAAAAAGAAAAAAAGAAAAAAAAGGGATAATGGATCACCTTGTCTTAATCCTTTGCTAATAGGGAACTGTTTGGTTGAGCTTCCATTGATAAAGATTGAAATCATGCTTGATTGAAGACACTCCTGTATCCATTTCCTCCATGTAACGTTAAATCCCATCCTTAATAGCATATAATCTAAGAATTCCCAGCATACCTTATCATACACCTTTTCAAAATCAGTTTTGAACACGAAGCTCTTCTTCTTCTTCCTCTTTGCCTTTTCAATCACCTCATTTGCAATTATTGTGCCATCCACTAGTTGTCTATTGCTTATGAAAGCCATCTGCTACTCCCTGATAATTCTGTCTAGCACTTTTCGAAGACGGTTTGCTAATAACTTCGCAATAATCTTATACATGATCCCAATAAGTGAAATGGATATGTATTCTTCTATTCGCTAAGGGTTCTCTACCTTTGGGATTAGAACAATGAAAGAAGAATTTGAACCTCTTACGAGCCTACCCTACTCACGGAATTCTTGAATGAACCCAACAACGTCAGGTTTTATGTCCTCCCACATGGCTTTTATGAATCTGAAGTTAAAACCATCTGACTCAGGTGATTTCGTAAAATCACAATCCCACACTGCACTTCTAATTTCCTCTTTCGTGAAAGTTGCCATGAGGAACTCATTATCTGCCTGGGATATCTGTTTGAAGTTGATGCCATCAAGCTTTGGTCTGTTCCATTTGTCTTCTGTAAACATGACCTCAAAACACTTTGCCACCTCTTCTCTTATTTGGACCACACCCGTATGCTACTCACCATTAATTTGGATACTATTCATTACATTTTTCCTCCATCTTCCCTTCACACTTCTATGAAAGAATTTGTATTTGCATCCTTTTCCTTTAGCCACATCTTCCTTGACTTTTGTTGCCACATTCTCTCCTTTATTTTTAAATTCTTCCAAAGGTCAAGAAAACAGTTTCTCTTCTTTTCACTATCCTCTAACGAGAGTTGTGCATTCTCTCCTCTCTCATGGAGTGTGGCTATCTCCCTTTCTACCTCATTTATTTTACTATCCACATCTATCATAGAGCTACCATTCCACTCTTTCAAGGCTTGCTTGGTTCTTTTTAGTTTTTCTTTAAGTACAAAGCCCTTCCATCCTTTAACCATTATTGATCTCCACACATTGCTGATCATTTCCTTGCAACCTAGTTGTTCCAACCAAACATCAAAGAATCTGATTGGTTTTGGTCTTTAATCAATCCTCTCATTCTTAAACATGACAAGGCAATGATCTAACATTGTTCTTCTCAGTCCCCATTGCTTTACATCACTCCACTTCATAAGCCATTCTTCTGATAGCAAATATCTATCAATTTTGCTCATAAATTGGTCGTTGGAATTGTACCAAGTGTATTTTCTTCCCACCAATGGTAAATCAACTAATCCCGCATCATGAATAAACAATTATACTCTCTCATTTCCCTCGATACCTACCTGCATCCTGCCCGCTCCTCTACTCTTCTTACAACATTAGTCTCCCCCTAAACACTATTTACCCTTTCTACTCTTAATCAGGTTTAGTAACTCCTCCCATAGGGCTCTTTTTCCCATCAATTAACATGGGGAATAGATATTCAATATGTATACAGGCATTTGATCCTCCCCCCATACTCCACACACACCAATATAATTGCTCCCCACTAAAACCTTGTTTTTCCTAAAGACCTTAGAATTCCATACACATAGAAGGCCACCAGACAGTCCATCTGAAGGTTTAAATACCCAATCAAAATCATTGGAACCCCATAACTTTTTACAGATACACCTATCAATTACCTCCATTTTGGTCTCCTAAATCACTAAGAATTCCACATTCTCCTTTCTAACTAAATCTCTAATTTGTCTTTTTTTTTCAATCCCTCCAAGGCCTCTAATATTAAATGATAATAATATCATCAAGAGTTGTGCTTACCTTCTTTTCGTCGCCTGCTCCCTGCTTCCCCATTTCTTCCTTTGTTTACCTGTCTCTACACTTCATTCCCTCAATTCTTTGCATAATATCTTCATCATTCTTTGCTGTAGAACCAAGTTGTTTTGCTAAATCCCAGATTTCCTTAGCAAGCTGGTTTCTCATTTTCTTCCTCCATACTCTGTTGCAATTCTGAATTCCACTGTCACCAATGGATTCACTCGTAATTTCACCATTTGGGCTTGCTAAAAATTCAGGATTTGTCTGCCCTTCCCCTTGCTATCTACTGGTCCTTTTCCTTCCTTTTATTTTTTGCAATCCCTCTCCAACAGCTCCAGATTTTGAGTACACCGAACTGCATAAGCTAATTTTCTTCTTCGTCTTCTTTGGAAACCTCTTTAATCTTCTGTTTGGCTAGATCTACACTCCTTTATTTTTTTAATAAGCTTCCCAAAGAGGATCTTCATCATCACTTTCCTTCATTTCTTCTGCAAGCTTGCTGTTTTTGAAATTTTCCTTCTCACTGTTTGAATTGTCCTTCATTTCTATCTCATGCTCGTTGTTTCTGCATATCTCTTTCTCATTGTCTGAGCTATCTTTCGTTTCTGCCACCTGTTCACTGCATCTGGAAATTTCCATTTAATTTTTCTGGGTTTTCTTTCGTTTCCACCACATGCTCACTATTGTTGGGCTTCTCCTTTTCACTGTCTGGGTTTGGGTTTGTCCCCTCTATTGTTTTTTGGGCCAAACCCACGTTAGATGATGCTTCATAGCTTGGGCTGCACTTCTATATGTTAGGCCCCCCAAACTGCTTCGTCTCAACCTTTTCCTTCGGGCCCATTTTCTTCCCAACATATTTGCCTACTGCCTTTTCAGTCTTCTAGGTCTGGTGTGCCTCCCACTTGTCTCTTGCACTATTCACTCCATCAATCACATTTTGAATTTGTAATGCACTGCCAGGCACTGCTTTTGTAGTCTTCATTGTTGTATCCAAAGATTTCCGTTGGTCTCACACCTTTTGCTTGCCACATCATCATCTTCAACCTTTATCTCGGAATTTTCTCCCTTTTCCTGCTTTGTTTTGGCAGCTTCTTCGGTATCACAGCCCTTATTCCCATCATCAATCGACCATGATTCATGATCCTCGGAATCACTCTGAAAAGTGGGCATGAAATCTTGTTTCAAAGAAAAGAAGTTATTGGTACACTCCTCCTCGTTGAATTTCACATTGTACAAAGACCCATTGATTTTAATTTGACGCATAACAGAAATAGTGCCCACAATCAGAGTTGTGATCAAGAATCTAACAACGTTGAACCTTCTTCTTTTACTTGTGTTATCATCCAAGCACATGAATTTTCCCCATGAATAGCCCATGGTTTCAAAGAAGTCTGATCCCCAGATGTTTAATGGTGCTCCTTAACATCTAATCCACACGAATCTTTCCCTAGCAACCATATCTGGTGTCTAAGGTCGTACCCATTCAAACCACTATACCAACCACTGTGAGGCCATCTCTACCGGGTCCTTTAATTCCCCTTTATCTTCACAATCTAACAACACCATCTTCTCCCCCATAGCATGGATTTGGCATGAGAAATAGCCTTTCATGTAGAATTTTTTTTGCAAATTATGGACCATTTCAATCGAATGAGCCATACCCACATAACAGTGGTCAAGCCATGCACAATCTTCTTGCTTGACATTATATTCCAAACCAGCCCATTTTTTTCCCACTCCTTTCTCCTACCACATTTTCCTGCCATCAATATATCTTTCTCCCTACCTATTTCTATTTTTGTTCTCATCTTACCCCTTAAACTAAGTCTCCCTGTTCTGAATTCTCAACTCTTTTTCATGATTTCCATACTACTGACCTCTTATTATTTTGGCATAACTTTTGTTCTGTAGTACTGGCTCCATGGTTTGACTGCTTCTCCATCCCCTATCAATCTTCTGCTCATCTTCGTACTTTGGAGTGTTCACCCATATTTTTTCTCCCCCACCCAAATCTAGTCCAATTGCTTTTCAAGCTCTTTTTTATCCTTCACATTCAAGAATCTAACAAATTCAAATCTATCCCCATTTTTGCTTTTCCTATTTGGATTGTATATGTCATAAACTCTTCCATATTTCAAGAAAGTATTCCACATGTCTGCATAACTCCATTCATCTAGAAAATTTGTAAAGAAGTACAAAGTAGCCTGTTTATACAAGCCCTAGTCATATGACTCTCCATTTTTTCTTATCTAAAACTAGTTCTGAACTAGTTGCACTCCCCTCTGTGTCGTCGATTCAGTCCACTTGTGCCAACTTCTTCCCTGAGATCTTGCATGCTCTCTACCCTGTGTTGTCCATCTTCCCTGTGTCCAACGATCGCCCCCTCTTACTCTTTGTCTACCTCTTTCTCTCATCTCCCTAAATTTTGTGTAAAAACCTACTTTTAATCTTTTATCTTAATAAATTTTTAAGTTTTAACTAATCACCTTATACTATAATACTTTTTAGATCATCATTTATATGAATTGAAGAAAAAAGCTCTTACTTAATGTTAGGTTATAACGTTTTGTAGTTCTGTTAACTAATTGTTAGTTTTATTAACTGATTGTTAGTTCTGTTAGCTGACTGTTAACTCTATTAGTTGACTGTTAGTATTTCGTTAACAGAACTAATAAATAAAATTGAATTTAAATTTCATGTTTTTTATAACAAAATGCTAATAATCAACTAATAGAGTTAACAATTAGTTAATAGAACTAATAGTCCACTAACAGGATATTAAATGAGCACTATTTTCTTCAATTCGTATAGATGAGAGTTAAAAATATTATAATATAAAGTGAAGAGTTAAAACCTACAAATTTATTAAGATAAATGACTAAAAATAGGTATTTACCATATATACATGAGTATGCATAGTGAAAAGTCTGATCTACCTTCATAAGATTATGGACATATGTATATATATTATCATAAACCAACAACAAACCTCTCCCAATCTGAAATTACGAATCCATAAACTATACTTTAGTGTCAGACAAAGTACGAACTATGTAAGGGGAGAATAAATTATCTGCAACCTCATAAAGGATGTTATAGATTGAAGTTGATGTGGCAGAGACCATAGATTATCTCCCATTCAAACAATCTTAGAAGTTCAAGGGGAGCATGGAGGTGATTACTCAACTTCTCTAACAGAGGACCAATCCATGAGAACTTAAAGCCAGCGAGACAACGTTAGCCCCGCATCGAAATGAACTTCAGTTGTTAAGAATCATAAATATTTAAAGAAATAAGAGATCGAACTAAAAAAAAAAAACCTGAAAAATACTTCAAAATCTTCTGAAAATATTGGTTCCATCTCCAATCTTATTAGCCCAATCACATTCTTCATTTCCTGACTTGCTAATCTTATTACCAAGTGCCAAAACAGGGAAGCTCAAACCCGCCGATACAGAAAGGCTTATATTGTTAAAAAATTTATCTAATACGAAATCTGAGAATTAAAATCTTCCAAGAACATATGATCTACAATATACCAAGACGAACCTAAACAAAGTTCTGGCTTAGGCTTAGACATTGCGGACATGATTTGAGCTAAGCCTCTTTCAAATCCTCCAAAGCTTTCCAAAACAAGAGACAGATACTGAAGTTCGATACCAACGATCTGTTGGGCCGAGTGGAAGGAGCTCGGTTCCCCTTAAGCAAGGTCTCGAGTTCGAGTCTTGTGAATGGAGAAACAGGCGCTGGGAGAGCTTCCCCCCTAATGGGGTCCGACGCGGCTCGATTCCAGATTAGTCGGGACCCAAA